CCTAGAAGCACTTTAGCACAATCAATGTTACTGCACACTACACTTTTTAATCCTACGTTCCTCCTGCCATCTCAGCACTTTTAACCCTGTACCCCACTGCGCCGGCCGAACCAGTTTTTAACAGTGTCTTGATGTACTGATGTATTGTCATTGTTGTTATTTTGCTTAATTGTTTTGATTTGCTTTGTTATTGTTGTGTTATGTTTTCTATTGTATTGCGTTCTGAGGCTTCGGCCCGTGTAAGCCGCATCGAGTCCTTCGGGAGATGCTAGCGGGGTACAAATATAGTTAATAATAATAATAATAATAATAATAATAATAATAATATACCTATGTTATGCTCTATTATAGTGCTATGTTATACATGTATTTTTAAAGTTTAAAAACTATTTTTATGCTGTATGTTGCTCTACAATTGGCCCCAGGGAATTAAATGTTTAAAATAAACAGACATAATCCTCCCTTTCCATCAAATATTAATAATGCAATTATCCTATTGTTTCTGTAAATAGTGAAGTAGCAGAGAAAAGGGACATGCATCTTATCACTAACAGAACTGATCAAGCAACATAGCAATGTATGAATGTTTGAAAGCATCATCATTTTTTGCGGTGTGAAATTTGAAAAGTTCCCTTTCATTTATCAGAAGCAAGTTCTATTTTTCTAAAACTTGATCCAATCAATTGGCATTTTGAGAAGTATAAATCAATTGTGTCAATTTACTTTATTAGCCTACTGCTTTTTGTGTGTGCCTACATCTGGATTATACAACTTGTCATCTACTAAACAGATTACACCCTAAATGCCATGCACAGTGTCTCCCAGCAGCTCAGTAAACTTGGTTTTACTGCCTGCTTGGGGCATGGACACTATAAATTTAGCTGGTGTGCTATGTTGGGATTTTTGGGTCACAAGTCATACTGTCCTAGTTTACATGATACTAAGGGGAAATACTGCTCATTTTCTTATTTCAGTCTCCAATGTATTTTTTTTTTGTCTTACAAATAGTATCCAATAAAAACAAAGACCTTTTGGGTCTTTTCTTAAAAGCCTTTGATATTTGGGTCAGGCTTTTGTTGAAGGTGGCTCAAATTCCCCTTTTTTTTTTTTTTTACTAGTGTCTTACCAGTCTTTTTCTTCTTCTTTTTTTGGTATTTGAATAATATTTGTTTTATTTGGACTGTCAATTATTTCAAGTGCCATTTTTAGCAGATAAATGAATTATACATTTAGCAAATAGTCATGCCTCCAAATTTGCGGGAATTGGGGGTGCAGGGCCCCAGCAGAAACAAAAAGTGAAAAACTCTAACACCTCCCCCCAAAAAAACATACCTTACAAGGAGGAGACTTAGATGGGATTGAGGGGCTGATGCTGTTAGAAGGACATGGGTAGAGAGCGAGAATAGTAGAAATATAGAGGTGAGGAAACATTAAATAATCAAATCCATGAAAGGGAAAACCACAAATGTGGAAGGCCAACTACATAAATAAAAATACATCTGCATATATGAAAGTTACTTTTGATTTATTTTATTAGGTTATTGAGGTTGTTTTTGTTTATTTTATGATGTTTTTGTACTTTACTGTTTTAATTCTTTAATTAGATTATTATATGTCTATTGTGTTTTTAAATGTGTTTTCACTTGGTTAATTTTGTTATTATTGGGCTTGGTCCCGCTTGTAAGTCGCCCCGAGTTCCTTTGGGGAGATGGTAGCGGGATACAAAAATAAAGTTGTTGTTGTTGTTGTTGTTGTTGTTGTTGTTATAAATGTTTTTCAAGCAATATGGAAATTCTTTCAGCAGCTTGTCAGTTTAAATGCTGGACACTAAAAACTGTAATGCAAAAGATTACCACAAGATGGCAGTCATTAATCACACTTGGATTACGAGTTCTTCCAGGACAGAAAAAAAAAGTACCAAAACAAACTTCTAAAATAATCAATAATAGATCTTTGTGAATGTTCAATGCTTGCAACACAAAGACAGATTTCTAGACATTGAACTTTTACACCCCTGTACAAAATGAGATGCTTTTTTGAGCAAGACAATTTTCTGAAATGTGTTTTGACACTGGTGAATGAGACAAAACATTTCCATTTAAAGTACTCAATTGAAAATTGTTATAACTTTTTATATCTATACTATCATAGGTATTTCCGATTGTTTCTGATTTATTTGATAAACAATATTAACAAATTATATATTACAAGTTGTTCTTTGCCATTTTTGTACATGTGCATATATTCTAGGTCTAATTATAGTTCTACATGATGTATTTATTTCGAACATTTTTACCCTGCCCTTCTCAACCCCAAGGGGGACTCGTGTATAAACAGTACAGCGAAACTACAAAATTATAAAGAGGGCTAGTATGAGAATGTTATCTCCCATAGTTGGGAATGCTGTATCAACTGTGACTGGGAAGACAACATCATTAACCAGTTCAAACATCTTGCTATGTTAACCACAAGCTAGGGATGGGTAGGTAACACATCGTCCTCCAGGTTTTGGCCCATGACTCCTTGGCTACACTGGTGAGGGCCAACTAAAGTTGTAGTCCAGTAACATTTGGAAGACTCCATGTTCTCCATCCCTGTTTTATACCAAATCAACTTACAGAAACTGCAGGTGTAATGTTATGTGATACTTACTGAAAAAGGCCAACATGAAGATTCCATCATTACCAACACGGAGCTGATCTGCATCACTGAAATCATCCCTTGGGGGATACTCTTCTTCCTTTAAGTTTATGACAGTTATATTTTAAAGCAATACACTTTGGCTATAATTAAAATAATTATCTTGCGAACAATATTTTTAAGCAGGAGGAGTAATTCAGGCAAGAATGCAAGTCTACTACAGACAAATATTTGCTGTTCACAATACAGTTTAATATCTAATAATTTATATTACCTATCAATACTATTATTCTAAAGCACAGACCAAGTTACAGTAAATAGATTTGCTTTTTCAACATGCATTAAGCAGGTTTAAATGCCTTGCTGTTCCACACAAAATACCTTTGATGATCCAAGTACACTGTGTTTTGCCTATTTTGGCAGAGGTTCCACTGCTCTTAAAATAGTTTTTGGGTGTTCCTGATTCATCTGTGATATTGAAGCCACAGCCATGGCACACAAATAAAACTTGACATATTCTAATAACTATACAATCCCATTGGTGATTGAAAGGAATATTTCATCCCAGAAGACAAACCACCTTTACAAACTAAATGCTTTGCTGATCTTCCGACACCAGAGGGTGCTATTATCTTAGTAACTTTAATGAACATTATCCATATTGTGCCTTCACATTTTTGTTATGCAGATGAAATTAATTTGGAAAGACAACCATGCACAGAATGAGGTTAAAATCATGGTTTCTAAACAATTTATCTTAGGCATGTTTTCCCTTTAAATGCATGCACATTAATAGCGGCTTTAGAGAGGACAGAAGTTCAGGAAAGCTACAGTAATTTAAAATTTATGCCACCTTCACCCCAAGAAACATGTAGACCTGTGAGATTCTCTTCTTTTTTTCCATCAGGATTAAATCTAGAACATGGGCATGTCTCCCTTTTTGTTTTTAAGTAGAATTAATCTTCACTCTTATTTTATTTAGTGCAATGGTGTTCTTACAATTCATGTTGCCATTGTTTACAGCTCTCTTATCAGACTACTCGACAGTGGTGGAAACGTATAGTCCACTGTATCAGACACTTATATACTATACCTAGATACCTTAATCCATGAAACGTTGTGGTTTTCACTTGCACTCTAAAACTGGTTAGCATGAATACAACTGTTCCCCCCTTTCAACAAACCATTGAAAACACAATTAAAGCCATTTGCCATAAAAGGTAACATAAATTCTGATCAGGAACATGTTACTCAACTGTAACACTGGAATAATTCTCACATTTATCTGAAGATTTTGAACTTCAGCAGTGCAAAAGAAGGGTTATATTAAAATAAAATAAATGGTGTGCCTGTGTAATCCAAAAATCTCTATAAAAATGTCAATTTTCTCCTTGAATTCATATAAATAGGCAGATTTAGTGGTTTGTCTCATTTGTCTTCTGTTTTATACGTTTTTGGTTTTGATAGGCGACACCAACAAATAAGGCAAAGCCACTAGCCCTAACATCTAACTGCTAACATTTTTATGCAGGTTCCTCACTGGTTTCTGAGTTTTTACTTTCAGCAAGCATTGACTGCATACTTTTAATCATAACTTTGCAGTCCTAAAGATTAAAAATGTACCTTGCAACCTCTAAAATGAAAGGTAAAACTGTATGAGGACAAACAAACTGAAGCTTAATTGAGACAACAGAGGTACTCCTGGTTAGTCAGACGACAGATCAATGAATTTAGCCTGTGTTGGTTGTAAACTCCCCATCAAGATTCACAGTTTGGCTGCCCCTCAACTTACTTCCCAGTAAGGCTAGAATGACCTCCTGTTTCTGGTGGCAGGCTAAAAGTTTTCTATTAAAACAAGATTTTAAAGATGAAAGTACTTTTGAAAAAAAGCCAAGCAGTATTCTTTTAACTAAATGGTTTACTGTTAATTTGATTGTTTTACTGAGATGTGATCAGTTTTAATGCTTCAGATAGTATAATTCTATTTCAATATTACTTTTTGTATATTTTTAATGTTATACAAAATGTTGTGATTCACTTTATTTCCAGTTTTGGGGGGCTGGGGTAGTGGGATATAAATAAATAGGTTTTCAACACCGCATTCTGTGCTCTTATACAATTTCGCATAACTTTGGTCCTATATGTAATGTAACACAACCATAACAGTATATTGTTCATACATAACTAGAAAAAAGGTAGAAATGTCAAAGGTGACCGTTAAGTTCAACAATAAACTCCAACCTGTAAATATATTTACATTCTAAATGATTGGTCATTTTTCTACATTTGGCATAACACGTGAAGCTTTCCTTCACATGCTATGCCAAATGTAGAAAAATAATATATACTCAGGAAGGCTCTATATATTATTTATTAGGGTTGATGGGAGCTGGACTCCGCGCAATATCCACACACAGTTAGCCCTCCACATTTGTTGGGATTAGCGGCACAGAACCCTGGTGAAATTGAAAAACTGTGAATGAGGAAACTGCTATTTATTTTAACTCAGAGAGCATCACTATAAAGATTTCTAGGTCTTCCAGTATGACTTTATGGTTGACCTCCAGTGGATGCGGACCACAGAAACACACTGGAGGATCTAGAAACTCCTAGGCTCTATGTGAAATGACTACTGAATGCATTCTGAAACTAGTTTCAAACTGCAGGGGCCAGACAATCAACTCCCACAAAAACATGTGAAAGAAAGCCCTTCACACATATCATTGCTCTGTGGTTGTTGTAATATAACTATCTGGGCCTCAAACTGGTTCCAGGTTTTCCTATGTAATCATCTGCATACTGAAACTACTTCCTTCAGCACCAGCTGTAAGCTGCATCAAATGGTCAGTGTAAATGGGGCACAAGAGAGGTGTTTTCTCTAGAAATCTCTAGGTCCTGCAGCATAACTAGAGAAAACAGGATACTGGGACACACTGAAGAACTTCAAGATTCCCAGATACAACATTTTAATCAAATCCATGACAAATCAAATCTGCAAATGTCAAATTGCAAATGTGGAGGAACAATTGCAGACTCACTTCCAGCCTGCTCTGCTGGAAGGATGGCCTATTTTACTGGATTGGTAATTCTTGGTCTTTCAAATAATACACTCATCTTTTGCAATTCAGTTCTACAATTATAAGGACTAAACAGGTATTTTTCGATCAGCAAAAGGCTATGCATGTATAGTGTGAAATAAACTCCATTTTCTTCCACAGTGTTTGCTCTTTCGCATGTTTAAATAGGAAGAAAGCCTGAGGCTGCAGTTCTATGTATGTTCACTTTTCTAGGAGTAAGGTGATTGAACTCAATGAGCCTTACTTGAAAGTGAAGGAGACTGCCCTGTAATTTAATATGTTTTAGGAAAGAAATGAGAATTTTAACATATCATGCTGAGATTTGAATCGTAACAATTTCATCAAAAAGTGGAAGAAAAGGTTTTTGCTTTTAACACACACTGCAAAATCTGAACTTCACAGAACTGTACCATACCTCAGGAGGACTCAGGAATATTTCATCAAACAGACTCCTAGATTCCCTAAATTGGCCGTGCTAAGCATGTAAAGAAAATAAGATAGAAGAACTAAAGGAGTGTTAAGGCATTCAGTACAGATTTTAAAACATCGAGGCACCGCTCCTACTAAACTAAATCTATTAAGTTTTAAAAAGAAGTGCAAATAGCTTGAAAAAAAGATGTCTTATTAGTCACAGTATAGCACGAATGTATCCCTAAATGAGAAACAATAAAACCTTAGAAAAATGGGACAAACACGCATGCATCTGAGTAAGGATGTGCATCAGATGGGGATGAAAGCTGAACAAACTGGTCTGTGCTGAATCAGCTCTGGAGCAGGATTCTGGCTGACAATACCAGAACCAAAGCCAGGGCTTTATGTATAATTTGGAAAAAAGCAGTGTATTTTACATTTTCTTTCCTTTGAAAGGAGTGTGCCAAATTGAATGAACAACAATTCCAGCTCCAATCACTGTTCTCTTGTGACTGAGGCTTTGATAAGCCTCATGATTTCAGCTTCATTGAAAAGAGATAGCAGCCAGGCAAGTAGCAATACTTGTTATTAATTTTTCTTTGTGCAACTGTACCAACAGAGAAGAAGGAAGTGAGATAAAGATGGGCTCATGTCATGGCCATTCCTACAATGACACCATGCTTCACCATTAAAATAAAGTCACATTGCTGTTCATGCTTCATAACTCCAGATATTATTCTGAAATACTGCTACTTTCCTGTATGAGGAGACATCTGGAATACATGCTTTCCATACAACTTAGGCCCTACAAATTGCCTCTCCTCGAGAGGAAATTTATCATGTTCTTGTACCCAAAATGTGAGAACATCATTTCTATATGAACTGTTGCATGTACTGTTCTGACAGCTTCCAAATTTCTTACTGAGGGACTAGTCTGTCATTTTCATAACAATGTTCCACAATAACCTATGGGGACGTGCTGGAAAAGTTACTTTCAAACAAAAGTCCCTATACCTAAACACCTGCAACCCAGTAGTTGTGGCCTCAAAAGAAACAACTATGCCAGTAGATTCCTTACAATTTTATCAAGAAATAGGCAGTTCCATCTAAAACACTATAATCACATTTTTCTAATTCTAAACAGAGCAGAAGACTATAACATATTTTCACAAAATCTCGAATTGTAGTCGATGGAAGGCATGAAAGTTTAGCGTTCCGAACCTTGTTTTTTATTTGAGGCCTTATTAGATACAAACTGGCTCTGAATTACTTCAAGCCTAAACAGGGATATTTTTCAAAGTGTCAACATTAGCTTTAAGTCAATTATTTTGGTCTGCTGAAATCCCAAAGGCTTACAGTTGATCCACTATCTTGTTGGTATTACAAAATAATGATCCTTGTCATGTTTAATGTTGAAATCCACAAATACTTCCTGGATTTATTTATTTATTTATTTATTATAAACTATCCTTTAATATATAAAATGCTTATTAAAATAGTTTTTCAGCTGCTCTTCTTTCAGTGTCTTGGTAAAAAACAATAAGTATGACTCCAAGTATTCATATGCATTAGACATGTGCATGGATCCATTTTAGCCATTTTACTTCCAATTCTTGGGCTTGTTTGGCTTCTCAAGATATCCATAACTGCAAGGGCTCAGCTGCCATGTTTTTTTCACCAGAAATGGCCCACGTGGCTGCCGGGCTCAGCTTTTTCCCTTATATTTGGGAGCACGTGGCGCATGCTTCCTTAACCTCATTCCTCAAACCCAAGCTCCCTTGAAAGGAAGAAAGAAAAGGAGCCCAGGAAGGGTGCTTCCTTAACCCCATTGCTCAAACTCAGACTCCCTGGAAAGGAAGAAAGGAAAGGAGCCCAGGAACAGAAAGGGGAGCCTCGTAAGTTCCTCATTGCCGCCAGTGGGTCGGATCTTCCTGGATCTTTCAGCTGCTTAGCTAGAAAAGATTTTCCCATCAGCCAATTTCTGGGAGGCTCCCGAAAATCGGATACCAAAAATGGATTACCCTCCAGCCAAACTGCACAAGGATAATATGCATACAAAATATTACTAGGCAATATGCAACAATATTATACTGTTGGAATATTAGGTCAGCAGCCGATGACTTGACCATTTTGGAATGCAGGTGTTCATAGCTGCACTTGTTCTCTTTCAATGGGTGGTCACAGTTCAATGACAGAGGACATGTCTGACACTGGCATCACTAGTGTGAACCACAATAACTATGCTTGTCTGAAATCCTGGGGGGCTGCTGCCAATCAGTGTAAACAAATATGATCGATAACGTTTTTGGTCGGCAAACTTTCACCCATTTCACCCAACAAAGTTAACCTATCTAAATGTTATTTATTTATTTTGTATACTTATATGAAACAAAGATTCAACATTATGGATTTGTAAACAGAGAAGAAACCTTGTGTCTGTGACAGTTTCACTGATTGAGATATAGGCATACAGTTGAACATTTAAAGATTATGGCAACTGAACCATCTATTTTTAGAAGTACCTCTATACACTTTCTCAGAGGGGAAAAATATATTTACATTCTAATTGATTGGGGAATCTGATTGGTGAGCATATATATACTTAGGATAAATGTATTTCCTGCTGAGTGAGCCATTTGTGTTTTTTAAAGATATGGTATAGTCCTCTTATTACTGCTGATACACTAAGAGGGAGATTTTAGTTGTATTCATTTTTTTCTTTTATCATAAAGAAGCCATCAGAAAGTTGTCTCTTCAGAGTACGATTAATGCACCTATAATTTCCTTCAATTTAAATTTGTACAATTGGTAGCTCTGTGGAAGTTAAACCTGACTTCAGTTCATTCATGTTCATTACACGGTGTTGAATCAAACAGCTGAATGTGTGTGTTTTTGTATTTAAATTTCATATTCAGAATGCTACCATTGCAAATTCCAGAATACAAGTTGAATAAATGGCAACAAATGCTAAATAAATACTGTAATGGCAGTAAAGGAAAAAGATTAAATATATAATTATGGTATAGATCAAAAATAGAGGATTAGCACCTTCCAATATAAAAAAAGTACTATGAAGCAAATACGTTGAGATTAATTATAGAAGGGATGATAAATAAGGAGGATTAAGAATGGTTAAAAGTGGATTTGGAGGAAATAAAGGAAAAAATGAAATATATATTTTTAAAAATTTAACAAGAAAGGAAATAAGAGAAATTGAAAAACAACTCTTGAGAAACGTGCTGGAAATTTGGAATAAATATAGGAAAATGTTAATGACAGAAGGCTCAATAAAAACTTCAATTATAATGGAAAGGAAATTCCCAAAAACTTGGAAAATATATTGGATAAAAATGTAAGGGAATTTTTTTTCTAGATAAAAGAGGGGATTAGATAAATGTTGGGATGAAGAAGGAAATTATGATGGAGGCATTTAGTGAAATAAAATTATGGTTCCATTGTATACAATTAGAACAATGGTTTAAAAATTGGTTAAAAATAATAGAAATGGAAGGAAACTTACCCAATTTGAACAAATAGCACAGAATGGAAGAGATATGAAAGAACATAGAAATTTGAAAGGAATAACTTGTAAAACTTGTATAAGATAATAGTTGAAATTAAAGAAAAAAACAAAGAACAATATTCTCAAGAAGATATGGTAATTACATGTTAAAGAAAACTATTACAAATTAATATGGAAATGGTATTTAACAGCAGTAAAATAACCAATATTAACAAAAATTACTCAAAAAACTGCTGGAGGGGATGTCAAGAAGTGGGAAAATATACACATATGTGATGGCAATGTAAAAATGTAAGTAAATTTTGGGGGAACGTATTTAGAGAAATAAGAGTATATTATGAAAATTAAATTGGAAAGAAGTCCTAGTATTGCTTTATTATCACTGTATAACACAATAGTTGAAAAAGATGAAAACAATGCAATATCCAATCTATTAACTGTTGCAAGATTACTTATAGCAAGAAATTGGAAAAGGGAAATAAACATACAAATTGAAGAGTGATATAAGGAATTATGGAAATTGACAATAAATGATAAGTTGACATGCAATTTAAATCTTAAAAGAGGAATATAGAAAAAAAATGATGAAGTTTGAGGAAAAAATATTGAAACAAGATTTTAAAAGAAGGATGGAGAATTACCTCCACAAGAGGACATGAAATTTTGGACAGATAATACAAGTGGCTCAGGGAGTGGGGGAGGCACCAAGGTGAATGATAGAAATGAGTGAAATTTATAGTAGACATTAAAGGAAATGATATGTCTACTGATAAATGTATTGCAAATGTACTGATTCTTTTCTTTTCTGATATATATATATATATATATATATATATATATATACACACACACACACACACACACCTCAATGTTTTTCAAGAAACTCGAATAAGGAGAATCCTGAACTGATGAGAATCTTTGGAGTTATTCTGCACAAAAGTTACAAATGATGTTTTGTGCAGAAAATCACATTTTCTGATAGAAAACTACATTTTCTGAATCAAAAATATTTCCATTCGGAAATTTCAATCATGTGCAGTAAATGCTGTTGCCTGTTGGTTTCTGCACTAAACAACCAAGTACAAATTTTGTACAAAAGTAGTCCCAACCTGTGAATTTCCTTTGAAAATTGCCTGGTTTTGCAGTGGGAAGAAAATTGCTGAAATTAAGCATGCTATAGCCTTGTGCAGTTACGGGTTCTGAAATGTAAGGGTAATGATAACGCAAGAAATGAAGACAATGTGAGAGTAATGATAACGCAAAGAATGAAGCAATCAAATGGCCCTTTAATAGTGAGGAGGTGAAGTGCAGACACTTGAAAATTTAAAGTTGTCCGACTACCAAAAAAGACATCCAAACTTATTTCTATAATCAACAAAGCTCAGCAAATCACACAAATATAAGAAATAATAAACACTGAAGCCAACCGTGGTTGCCTATTTAAAAACTGCATATTTCACTACTGCACAAATTGCTCACTTACTCTTTGGGCTGCTGCTTCCGCCGCAACAGCTGCCATTGCTGCAGCTTTGGCCTTCTCTGCTTCATCGTAAGTGGGAAGAGAGGTAGCTACACTGTATGGAGGTGGCACAGGGTAATATTCATTAGGTGATTCAATTTCTGGAAAAGTAAAAAAAGCAAACACACAGGAAGTCATGATTTGGAGTCTAAATCACCAGCCAGCACCAGAATCTATAGTACTGTTAAAGAAGTTACATTAGATTAAACATACTATATTACAAAATATGTACAAAATCATGGTTCTCCAAGAATATAAATTTCAGTCAGTAGTGGTTTATTGTCAAAAAATACCTAAGAATGAAATATACTGAAAGGAAATACCTGATGCTGCAGCTGCTTCTGCAGCAATGCTACAATAAGGTGGAGGTGAAGTATCTGCTTCGGGTAAAGATGCCTCTGTTTGAGAAGCTGGTGCATTTTCCGTAGAGGTGGATGGTTGTTCAACCACTGAGGATTCTGAGGGATCATCTTCATTATGAAGCTTTAAAGAAAGAAATATAGTATATTTGATTACCTACTGTAATTCAATTCATTTATTTCCAAATAAATAATTAAACTATAATTAAACTACTAAAAGTATTAGCAGAAATACCTCTGTTCCAGTTTTGTATCGTGCATATTAAATCTCTATAAAAACACTTGGATACAACATATTCCAGCACACATAAAGTGGGGAGTAGGGAATTATCGACTACCCAAAAGTCCACACCTGTGTTAACATGCTAAAACAAAGGGGCCCTTTTCCCTCTCTTTCTCAAAACATGAGCATCACAGAGATCAAATGTTAGAATTATACCTTTCTCAGAACAACTCCACTTTTTAATTATTTTCCTGCTTTGAAACAGAAGATGCAAAGTTTGCTTGTCAGGATGCCTTACGATCAAAGAATGAATATACAGAACATCTCTAAACCATTCTATAATCAAGATCTGCCTCTCTTCTTCCAAGTATTTCATATTAAAGGTCAGTATTCACTCATGCATATGAAAATGTCACTTTTCAGATTTCACTACACAAAGCGAGTATTTTCCCCCCTTGGAAGCCACTACATTACCACAACATTGTCTTCTCTCCTGGTAACTGAAAAAGACAGCTTGTATTAACTCTTTTCTACAACATGCCATATCCAATTTCAGAGGCAATGGGAGGTTCGCATTCTAGCCTTGGCCAGGGGCAAAAAAACAAAGGTGTGATCAAATAGGTCTACCTTTAGTTTAAAACTCTCGCTGGCAATAAATAAGTGTTGGGATCAAATAAAACCAGGAAAATAGACAAATGATGGTGAGACATTTTATGGTTTTCTTTTAAAAAATATTTTTTATTGTGAACAAGATTGATTTTACGTTTTCATAAAAATTCAATTAATGAAACAAATATGGATAAAGGGAAGAGAGAAGAAAAAAGAAGAAAAACTGTGCAGAAAATAAAAAGTGACGAAAGAAACATTTTTATTGTTTTCTGAGGAAACCCAGACTTCATTAAGATCACAGAAGGAAATCCTCTGTTCTTGCCATATGGGAAGGGTTCACACTATACTGAGAAGTTTCACCACACACAAATACATCAACCCCACTATGTTTTTTTAAATGATTTTTTTTCTTGGAATGGTATTAAAATCATCAAGTCTCTTAAGGAATAGGAACAGAAAAGAGAATGCACAATGCATGTTCATGTTCTCTAACTCAATGAGGAATTTCATGTGAGAAAGTGATCAATCCAAAGGAGGAGGCATAGAGATTTCAGTTGTTTTTATACTTAGCTAGTATATCGGGTGCAGAAGAATTAGTCGGTTCTCTTCATGTTCAACTTGACAATCAAACAGACTGGTAAATGAGAGATTATTTCCTCCTTCCACCACCACCAGCTTTATGGAAGACCTTTTCTAAACTGGTCTCTTAAGAGGCTATTATTGCATTTGCATGATGTCTGCTAAAGAAGAGACATTACCCCTTTTGCAGCTAGTATGCAAATGGGGGCAAGCAGCTAGCAGACGACTTATCCTTGTGGGTTTATTCGCAAAGCTATTATAGATGCTAATGTGCCATTTAAAAATGTCACATAACTTTATTTAAACTGATCAACTGTCAAGTATACTTTTCATGAAACATGCTGAAAAGTGGAAGCAAAACCAAACACACTAAAGCTCTATTGCATTCTGGTTTATTATCTTGTTAAAACATTTGCCTGAAAATGTGCAAGTCTGAATATAAGCTCAGACAAACCTGCACATCAATTAGTATACATCACAGGCCTTTAGTGGAAAATTGATATAATCTCAAACGCACACAAATACTGGAGACCAGTACATTTATTTCCTTTGCTTATCATATATGTCTTCATTGTGTTGTCGAAGACTTTCATGGCCAGAATCACTGAGTTACTGTGAGTTTCCCAGGCTGTATGGCCATATTCCAGAAGCATTCTCTCCTAACGTTTCACCCAAATCTATGGAAGGCATCCTCAGAGGTTGTGAGGTCTGTTGGAAACTAGGCAAGTGGGGTTTATATATCTGTGGAATGTCCAGGGTGAGAGAAAGAACTCTTGTCTGTGTGGCTTCTTACTGCCTGGAGGAATCTTTTGTTGAGAGCTGATAAGCTGTCCCTGATTGTTTCTTTTCTGGAGTTCCCCTGCTTTGAGTGTTGTTCTTTATTTACTGTTATGATTTTAATGTTTTTTAATACTGGTAGCCAGATTTTGTTCATTTTCATGGTTTCCTCCTTTCTGTCGAAATTGTCCACGTGTTTGTGTATTTCAATGGCTTCCACATGTTTAAACTAATGCAATGACATCATTTAGAATTGCTGTTCGGGGGGGGGGGTGATGGGCGATACATAACTAAGGAATGTATAAAATGTCATTTAAGGAATATTCACTTTTGGAATAATGTATACTGAAATAAGTCCTGTATGGCAAAATTTTGTTGATTGTTGAGATGTATCAAATAATATTTGTTTAAAAAGCTGTAAAATATTATAATAATAATAATAATAATAATAATAATAATAATAATAATAATAGGGAAAAAATGGCTTCTCTGTGTAGTCTGACATGGCGGTTGTTAGAGTGATCCAGCATTTCTGTGTTCTCAAATAATATGATGTGTCCAGGTTGGTTCATCAAGTGCTCTGTTATGGCTAACTTCCCTGAATATTTTCTAGCCAGATTCCAAGACAAAAATGAGCCCAAAAAAGAAAATAATGACCTGAGAAAGACTGGAGACCTTTTATACTTGAGAGGTGTTGGATAGTTTTTCTGAAACTGGGGTCTGTCTTCTGTTTAGCATCTAAGGACCAAACCGAACATATTTTCAGAGAAAGCATACAGTGTAGTCCTCTGGGAAATGCATATCACCTAAATGAAAAATTACAAAAGGAAAGGGATGGCTACTGATCTAACTTCTTCTGGTGTACTTCTTTTCTGTCTCATCATATTTTCACAGCTAAGGCACTCAGCATTTTATAGACCAGTGATTTCCAGCCATAAGTCCTCCAGTTGTTTTGGACTTCAAATCCCAGAAATTCTAACCAACTTACCAGTTGTGGGAGCTGAAGTACAAAATACGTGGAGGATCAATGGTTGGGAACAACTGCTGTACAAAACAAAACTACTGTAGACGTTATAACTGCAGTGATCGAAATATGAATTCAGAATAATAGAATCATAGAATCAAAGAGTTGGAAGAGACCTCATGGGCCATCCAGTCCAACCCCCTGCCAAGAAGCAGGAATATTGCATTCAAATCACCCCTGACAAATGGCCATCCAGCCTCTATTTAAAAGCTTCCAAAGAAGGAGCCTCCCACACTCCGGGCAGAGAGTTCCACTGCTGAACGGCTCTCACAGTCAGGAAGTTCTTCCTCATGTTCAGATGGAATCTCCTCTCTTGTAGTTTGAAGCCATTGTTCTGCATCCTAGTCTCCAGGGTAGCAGAAAACATGTCTGCTCCCTCCTCCCTATGACTTCCCTCATATATTTATACATGGCCATAATGTCTCCTCTCAGCCTTCTCTTCTTCAGGCCAAACATGCCCAGCTCTTTAAACCACTGTTCATATGGCTTGTTCTCCAGACCCTTGATCATTTTAGTTGCCCTCCTCTGGACACATTCCAGCTTGTCAATATCTCTCTTGAATTGTGGTGCCCAGAATTGGACACAATATTCCAGATGTGGTCTAACCAAAGCAGAATAGAGGGGTAGCATTACTTCCTTAGATCTAGACACTACGCTCCTATTGATGCAGGCCAAAATCCCATTGGCTTTTTTTGCCGCCACATCACATTGTTGGCTCATGTTTAACTTGTTGTCCATCAACAAGTTAAACATGAGAAGCTTAGCAACCTACTATCATTTTTTTCAAAACTTCATAATTTAAATCAAATGCTAATATTTTCTAAAAAGTGCCTCACATATTTCAGAAAAGTAGACATTCAACAAAAGAATAAGAGCCATTTTGACTTACCATGCTATCATTAACCATATTAATTAGAGGGTGCTCATTAATTCCTAAGTTTTGAATGATGAATCTTCAAAGATGGGTAACAAACAATACCAGTTTTATTTCATCTACATCCAAAACATCTTGTGCATACAAATGCACATCTACATGATCAGTAAGGCTTATACATGGCAGCTGGATTCCATCTAAATCTCTTATCTGGTTACTTGTTTAGAGAGAGTGCCACTTTGAAGAAAGCAAAGGTGGGCAAAGGACCACATGTGGCTCTCCAAGCCAACAATCTCTCCAGAATCCCTAAAAGACTCTTGCCAAAAAGAGAGGAACTGTCTCTTTTTGGCAATCAGCCTTCTAAAACTCCTTGCACTATTTATAATTTTAAAAGCTTTCCCCCATATGAGGACTTATGCCATTTCTAGCTTTGAATTTTGTTTACCATCTATTGTCATTCCACTTGGCTCCCAGATATCATGAGTGGAGAAAAATGGTTCCTGGACCTGCCACAGTCCCACCTCTGTAAAACAGGGATATGAGCCAAGTCATGTCTGCAAAATGAACTATATTGTGTATCTCTTATGTTGTACTGGAATTTTGTGAACAGCCTCTTCTATGTGAAGGCTTATCAGAGGCCTTCAGACAACCAGACTTCATAGTAAAATTGAAAACTTTCCCAAGATAATATTCTGAAATTATAGTTTTCCTAAAATGCAGTTTCATGAAAAGTATTGGTAACATAATAAACAGATATAATATTATGCAGCCAACTTTCAAAATTAACCCCTTGTCGGTAATTATTCTTAGGGAACATCTGCATAAGTACTTACACTTGAATATGTTCTTTGGTGAGTTAAAGCTAGAACACTTTCAATCTGCTCCTTCCCAATCCTTTTAAAATGTAACTAATGAGGATTGTTGTTGCCACATTAAAGTAACAAATCATAGAATATTTTCAATTTTTTTGTTATTATATTATGATTATGGTCATGAATCCATTTACTAAAGACCGCTCATTATTAATATTTACTTCTC